CAAAAGATAAGAGAAAAAATTTTTTACTAAAAATGTTCCTAAAGATATTTTTAACATATGTAGACGTGAGTAAATTTGTGCTTTTCGTGAAAAGCCTTTCTTAATGACCTCCTTCCCTTTGTAAGTTATTAAGTCCACTACGCATGAAAAAAACGTAGATATAACTATGTAAGTATTTTTGGTGAATCGAAAGATGATTACGATATACGAAAACTGTAAAGAAGAAATTTTCGAGGGGTGGATTTAGACCTTCTAGCTTCCTAAAGTTGAAGTTATAAGACACAGTCACCAACCATTAAACCAAGTGCTGCTGAGAAAGGAATATTACAAAACGACACAAGAGTTAAATAAATACTTTACCACTATGTTGTCGAGAAGTTAGGAAGAAGTACACAAATGAGTTGGAAACTACCACAGCTGATTCAAAAGTACCATAATTAAAGAGGTCGGAAAGACTAGTGTATAAAAGAAAAGTTTAATTAGCAGTTAACAGCTAAACAAAGAGCATACTTGAAGGTAGACCAACTTAAATGCAGGAGCACTCATTCACAATTTGAAAGGTGACTTTGCTGTGAATATACTTCGACGGAGAGAAGTTCCGAGGTAGTGAAAAAATTAGACTATGTGGTGCATCAATAAAATACTGTTTTTGTCCAGTCTAAGATAAAGAATAGGAACACTAAAAACAGTCCATCAACATTTACTTAGAAGTTTATGTGAAATTCTACAACCAGTAGAAACGAACAAAATAAGAAACTTGTGTCTTAAACAAGAGATTATATTTCACTTCTTCCTGTAGATGTAGAAATATATTTGGAAAGAATATAATGCTGGCTTTCAATTTAGTTGAAAGTAAAAAATTTTACTTTAAGTTTTATAGGGTGAAAGTAGCAGTTTCAAAACTTCACAATTTGTAATTTAATAATTTTTAACAATTTTACTTCCTCTTTCAACCAAACCACTTTTAAACCACAAAAACTAAGCAAGATTGCAAGTTCTTCTGCGCAATCAAAAGTTATGAGTAAAAAGGTTCAGATGATCAAGTATCCTTGCTTTTTTTGAATCTTGGGATAACAACCAATGGCCACAATCAATGAACGTCTGCGTACTGTCAATAAATTACAAGCCAAAATTTCAGATTTTCCTCGTCGGAAATATTATAGAAAGAACAGTGTGTCTACTAGTTGTTTAGCCGTCTGCAATAAATTTATCAAACCAG